TGAGTTTATTCTCCATCTCCAGGTTTATTTCTTCGGAGATCAGCCATCCAGAAAGCTGATTTAACGAAATATTGGTATTGTTCATGCGAATGTTTTGCTTAAAGGATGAGTATTCGGTGGGAAGACCACGAATAACAGCATTCACCACATCACGTTCAGGGATCTCTTCTTTCAAGGCATCGAGATTCGAGAGAATAGTTGCCACATCATCAAGGTATTGTGTCATAGTTTTGGTACCTTTACGAAGAGTGTGGAGTTTGTCCCGAAGCTGATAAACATGAGCGGTGGACACGGAGTTGTACTGTGCGGCCAAAGCATCCCAGAGGGCAGCAGATGTGGTGAAGCCGCGAGCATGTTTGTGAACGGAGGGGCTGATGACCGCTAGGAGGCAGGCGCGGATCTGTGTGTCAACGATGGTCCAGGAGGTATACTCTGGATTAGGGACGGTTTTATCGTTTTTGGAGATAGTTGGCGTCGGGGCTGCTTCATGACCATCAATCCATCCAAGGAGGAGATTAGCTGAAAGAGCTGTCTGGACATTGAGAGACCATGCCGGATAATTTGTTTCGGTGAGTTTTTCTGGGATTAAGTTGTGGAGACTCCTAAGTAAAAGTTTTACTCCGGAGGGTAAGGACGCCAAAGGATCCGACGGGGCTGCCATGGTGGGCGGCGGTCGGAAAAAAAAAGAGAGGCTAGGTTTTTGAGAGCCTTAGCTCTGATACCATGATACAATTTGATAACAACTTGTCTTATTGAATATTGAGAGATATGGCCCTATATATAGGGAATACAAGAGTAATCAAAGTACAAGTATGAAAGGAAAGAATAATCCTAGTAGGAAAGGAAAGAAGTATCCTAATTTAATTATACTTCCTAATAGAGACAACAACGTAATTGCGATTTAACTAAATGAACATGACTCGGTCATGTGACATGACTAACGTGAATACAAACAAGATTTTGATCACTGAGCCTTAGAAGAATTTCGAAGATGAAATTTCTTTAAGGGGGGAAGAAATGTAACGCCCCAAAACACACCTTAAGAACAAGATTTTGATCACTGAGCCTTTAGTTCATCTGTTCATGTTTTCAAATATCTTCTAAGAACTTCATTTCAAATTTTAGAATCCACATCACATTTTCTAGATTTTATGAGAGGCATATCATGCGTCATACCTTCAAAACTTAGCAATGGGTCCTTAATGAAATGTGGAGTACTTTAACAATAAATATGTTCTTGCGCAATGACTCATGGTCAAGTAAAAGCTCCAATTTGGCTGTGATTGGGTAAGAGCCTTAATGTAACAACGAGACACTAATAACTCATATGTCTCGGATGAGGTTTCGTGATATGAAATTAGAGATTTAACATTTCATCAATAGCTCTTTGATCTATCTTTTTCTTTAGCTAGAATAGTATAATCATTGTATATTTAGAAAAAATTGAAAACAGAACATCTATCTAGAATTAAGTTACTGTAGAGTAATTTCTAATGAACGTATAATATTTCCACCCTTCGTGCCATAAGATTGCTCATGGCTCATACTCCCTCCGTCCCAAAAAGATTTACACGTTTCAAAAAAATCGTGTCCCACAATCCCTTACCCATTTCTATTAAAAAACCACTTTTACCCCTTAATTTTTCAAACCCTACCTATCACATCATACCTTTTTTCTAATAATCTACACATCACATCCTACTTTTACCAATCACATCAAGGGTATTTTTGGAAAGTCAACACAAAATTATCCATCCCTTAATTTCAACTTTAGTCAAAATGGGTAACACTTTATGGGACGGAGGGAGTATTTTTTTGTCTGTCACAAAAAAAAATATTTTCTATTTCTAAAACCAAATTTTGAGCTCTTAAAAATTTCCTCTGCTTTAGATCACTCTTAATGACTTTTTTTCATGGAAGGTATCCCATCTTTGCACCTTGTAACAAAAGGGTACTTCATCTTTAACTTGCAGCGAAAATGTATCTCATCTTTAAAAAAATGTGACAAAAAGGTGGTATCCCTTGCCGGAATTTCGAGAATCCAGCCGGCGAGCGTACATGTGATGTTCTACTTATAGCTTTCTAGTGTATATGATACATTCCATATGACTTCAAAACTAATTTATAACTTCTCATATACGTTATTAACTTTGTACGTGTGTTCTAATTTTTTTAAAATTATATTTTCTTTATACAACAATATCATATTTTAATATTTACAAAATATTTTAAACCAAACTAGCAATTACTTTTTGAATTTATTTAAATTTTAAAATATCTACATTCCTTTGGAGTTAGAATTTTAATAGATAAATAAACACGAAGTTGCATAAACGTCTCTTCTAAAATATACTTAGATAACTTATAAAAACTCATTCCACGTATCGATAATACTTGATAATGATGATGGTCGTAGTAGTAGTAATACTAATAATATGTATTTTTTAAAATTTAAATTTTAGAAAATTTCTAATAAATCTTTAAAAATATATTATAGACAATTATTAAAATTTTATTGCTACTTATTTAAAAATATGAAGTATCTTATAAATTATAATTTTTTTCAAAATGCTAAAATTAAAAGTAAAATCTTATAGAAAGCATAATTTAAAAACAAAATTGAAAAATTCTCCACAAAATATCCTCTGTATTTTCATTACAAGAAAGAAATTTGACTTATATGTTAAATACAAAGTTAATAAAGTATTAGATAAATTACGAGTCAATTTGGAAGCCATATGCAATCTGACATATACACTAGAAAGCTAAGTAGAATGCTACACGCACGCTTGCTGATGGGTCGATACCCAATGGGCGGCCCAAATACCGCGCCCAAATGGCGCTGGGTCACTAGAGCTGGCGTGCAGCGATTCTGGGCCGGACCAAGAGCCTGGGCTTGGACTAGCCCAATGAAGAGACAGCTGGAGGAGCCCGAATCAAGGGAGGAAACTCAGTTGAAGACGGAGACATAGCCAAAGAAAGGGGATCGCGCCATTGGCGGATGAGTCTCCACTAATTGCGAACTACCATAATTACTTGAAAATCATGTATAAATAGAGAGGACCCAAATAGGGATTCTCAAGCTGAATCAATCAAATAAAATCATAATTCTCGAGTTCTTGTTTAATGTTTATTCTTTTGATCCGTTTTTCTAAGTCGGATCATTTGATGGATTTATTGTCCATCACTCGCCGATCGGGCTCTTGAAATTCCGGCAAGGAATATTTTTTTATTATATTTTTTAAAAATGAGATACTTTTTCGTTACCAATTGAAAATGAAGTACCTTTTTACTATAAAGTGAAAAGATGGAGTACCTCCTATGAAAAAAGCCCTCTTTTAATCATACAAGGAGTAATAATTTTACTTTTTTTTTAGAAAAATGCTAGGGGTACACCAAATGTGTACCCCACCCCCTTCTTGTCCACCAAAAAAGGCAAGAAATTCAAAAAAAAATAAATAAAAATAAATAAATAAAAATAAAATAAAAATGGATGATAGAAAAGTGGGTGGTGTACATTTGGGGTAGTATTGCTCTTTTTTGTATGTTGCCCATTGGAAGATAAAACCTTTTGATGGAGTATTGTGGTATACTCCTTATTTGGGAGTAAAATTTTGGAGGAGTAAATGGTTGACAGCGAGGGCCCAGAGAAAACGGCCCATAAGGAATAGAAATAAATAGGCAGAGGCTTTGTTTGTTTGTTTATTTTATTTCCACAGTCGTCCTCCGTCCCCCCCTATCCTTCCTTTCCCACCTTTTCACAGATCACACTCTCCATCTTCACGGAGCCTCTCTCGCTTTTCAGTTCGTTCACACTTTTCCCTTTCCCAATCCTCCTCCAGATTCTCAATCCTTCTTCGACGCCATGGTCGACGTCGACCGGAGGATGACCGGCCTGAACCCGGCCCACCTTGCCGGCCTCCGCCGCCTCTCCGCCAGAGCCGCCGCCGCCCCTTCTTCCAGCCCTCTTCCTCCCCGCAACAGTCTCTTCTCCTTCACCCCTCTGGCCCATAAAGTCATCTTCCGCCTCCGGAGTTGCGGCGTGAAGGTGGAACCCGGTTTGTCCGAGGCCGAATTCGCCCGGGCGGAGGCGGAATTCGGCTTCACCTTCCCGCCTGACCTGAAAGCTGTCCTCGCCGCCGGCCTTCCTCTCTCCCCAGGCTTCCCTGACTGGCGCTCATCCGGGTCGGCTCGGCTCCAGCTCCGCGCGTCGGTTGATTTCCCCGTCGCCGCCGTGTCGTTCCACATCGCCAGGAACGCTCTCTGGTCCAAGTCGTGGGGCCCACGCCCATCTGACCCGGAAAAGGCGCTCAGAATCGCGAGAAATGCTCTGAAGAGAGCCCCGCTTCTGATCCCCATTTTCAGCCACTGCTACATCCCCTGCCATCTTTCCCTCGCCGGAAACCCCATTTTCTACGTCGACGAGGACTCCCTCTCCTGTTGCGGTTTCGATCTGTCGGACTTCTTCGATCGCGAGTCGGCCCTCTTCTGCATTTCGGACCCTAGATCAACCGGTTCCTGGTCTAATTCCTCCAGAAGGAGCTTCGCCGGCGGACGGCCGCCGCGATGGGTGGAGTTCTGGAGCGACGCCGTCGTGGCCAAGCAGAGGCGGAAGTCCAATTCCTCGGCGTCTTCTTCCTCCTCCCCTGAACGGTACAACCATTCGGGAAGACCCGGAACCCCCAAATGGGTCGAGGCTTACATCGAGAAAATCGGGTCGGTTCTGAGAGGAGGCGGGTGGAAAGAATCCGACGTCTCGGAGATCGTACACGTGTCCGCATCCGGATTTTTCGACGGCGAGATGGTCTTGCTGGACCATCAAGCGCTCCGGGACGCGCTTCTGGTAAAAGCGGATCGGTTCTCGGGTTCGCTCCGGAAAGCCGGGTGGAGCCCCGAAGAAGTGTCGGACGCATTCGGGTTCCACATCCGGGTCGGGGGAGGAAATCGGAGACCCGCTCCACATTTGACCCCGGAGTTGGTTGAGAAAATGGAGAAACTGGCTGAATCGGTTTCCAGGTGGTCGTCGTAGATGTCGGGAAGCTTCTTCCTCCGGGCTGATTTTTAACCGACTACCGGAAGACACGGGAGATTCTTGCCGTGGTCGCTGCCGGTTCCCGAAACATCCGGTGGGCTTTTTGGATAAAATTAAGTTTTTAGATCCCATAAAAAAGGGAAATGGAAATATAGGAAAAGGAGTTTCTTACTGTGGAAAAGTACACAAATTAGCCGTGCGTCGGTAATAATTAGCGGTGCCTTTATTCTTTTTGTTTTTTATTACGGAGTACTTGTTACAAGAGTAATGATTTTTTATTTTTATTAAATAGCATTAACATACTCTCTTTAGCTCTTATTTTATTTTTTATTTGAAAGAAAGTGATAAAATTTCATGGTAATTTTATTTACAAATTTGTATAGAAATAAAAAATATTTTTTTTGAAAGGAAATAAAAAATATATAAATTACATTATTATAAATTAAATCTAAAATTTGATAGAACAAGAGGAGACATAAATATAGTATCAAGAAAATTAATTTAAAACATAGAGAGTACATTAGTTGGGACCACATTTTGTAGATAGTATAGAAGCAAACATTGTTTCATACTCGATATTTGTGATGTTTGTGAAGTGTACCATATCAAATTTGAAAAGAAAAGGTGGCTCAAGGAGAAATAATTTAAAATAGAAGTAAAATATACTATGGCCCCGTTTGGTACACAGAATTCAAACTACGGAATTGGAATTGAGGACTTTAATTTCAATTCTCGTGTTTGGTAGTACAAAAATTATGTGGATTTGGAATTGGTAGTGCAAAAAAAGAATTTGAATTGGTGAATTCAATTCTATGAAATTGAATCTCATGGAATTTTAGTTTCAATTCCAATTCCATCAATTCCGTGTACCAAACGGACCCTATGGGATTAGTCTTTATCATCAAATTAGGAGTGACATGGATATATTTTTTTCGAAATAAAAGTTTGTATTTTGATAGTATGATACCTGATGGGTGTATTTCACCCACAACCGGTCAAAGGGCTGGATTAGATAGTTGACCGGTCAAAGAAGTCGAACTCGAAAGGGAGATCTGAATCGTCAGCAAGGGGGTGGCTGGTTGGCCAGAAAGTTGACCGGTACACTTCGGGTTAGTATACCGGTCAAACTACTCCATTGCCTAAATCCGTCCTCTGAAATTAGCCAAACCAACCCTCGAAGATCACCCGGTCTAGTTTCCGAAGATCGGAGAGCGTCGGCAGGAAGAATCCAAAAGAGGTTTGGACTGTAGTGGTTGGCGTTGCAGAGATGCTGGAGGAATATTTCCAAGCCAGAACGTGACAAGGAGGGTGATCCCCCTCGCAAGACGACAGGGCAGCTCAGAGCCAGTCACTTCACACCACGCCAGCAGCATACCCCCACGTGGGCGCACGTGGTCCTGCTCCCCAGCCTAGTATATATACCTCTTGTAACCCTCGAATGAGGGGATCCGAATTCACTCTCTCCAAACTCCCTTGTAAAAGCACCCGTGCATTCTCCGTTATAATATAAATTGGGCTACAGGTGTTCCACCTAAAGTCCTACCGGTCAAT